GGTGACAGGAGCCCCCCGCCCCGTCACACCCCCGGTGACACCGGGACAGGAGGGTGTCCCTGACGTGGCCACAGTCCCGGTGACAGTGGGACCCCTAGAGCCCGGTCCCGCAGTGACAGGAGCCCTCCCAGCCCCGTCACACCCCCGGTGACAGCGGGGCCTCCCCGGGCCCGGGGCCCGGTTACAGGAGGGTCCCACCGGCCTCGCCGGGAGCCCCGTGACAACAGGGCCTCACTGGGGCCGGGGGGATCCCTCCGGCCCCGGCACCCCCCGGTGACAGCGGGCCCGGTCCCCCGGTGTCAGGAGCCCCCCGGCCCTGCCCGGCAGCCCCACAGCGGGCCCGGCCCGGTCCCCCCCGCCCCTCCCGGTGCCGCCGTCACCTGCCGCCGCTGCTGCTCCTGCGGGCCTTGGCGCGGCGCCGCGAGGCCTCCCCGTCCTTGCCGCCGGGCCGCAGCGAGGCGTAACCGTGCTCGGCCTCTGCGGAGACACAACGGCGGCCGCGGGTCAGCGCGGGGCCCGGCCCGGGGGCAGCGGGGGCAGGGGGAGGGGGTGCGCGGGGGGTACCTCGCTCCCGCCGCTCCAGGAACTCGGCGGCCTCCAGCAGCATCTGGATGCCGAGGCGGGGGCGGCCATGGCGGGGCCGGGACGGGCCGGTCCGGCGGCGGGGGCGCGGCGGCCTCTGCCCGCCCCGAGCGGCCGCTCCGCCAGGCCTCGCGCGCGGCCCCGCCCCAAAGCGCCCATTGGCCCCCGCTGGGGAGGCCCCGCCCATCGCGGGCGCTCATTGGCGGGCGCTGAAGAAGCCCCGCCCAGCGCCCGCACGAGCGGCGCTGCGGGGCGTGGCGGCGCCCGAAGGCCCCACCCCCCGTCAGCTGTGATTGGGCGGGAGAGGCACGCCCTCCTGCCATTGGTCCACCCACCAACGGCCCCGCCCCGCCGCCGCACGCGCTGCCCCCTGACTCACTTCCTGCCGCGCAGCCAATGGCGGGGCCGGACGGGGAAGGGGGCGGGGCATCGGGTTAGGCGGTGGGGGGTGGGGCAACGTGAGACCCGCGGGGACCCCCGGGACAGGGACAGGGACCCCCAGAACAGGGACAGGGACCCCCCGGGACAGGGACAGAGACCCCAGAACAGGGACAGGGACCCCCCGGGACAGGGACAGAGACCCCGACAGGGACAGAGACCCCCAGAACAGGGACAGGGACCCCCGGGACAGGGACCCCCAGAACAGGGACAGAGACAGATCAGGACAGGGACCCCCGGGACAGGGACAGGGACCCCAGAACAGGGACCCCTGGGACAGGGACAGAGACCCCCAGAACAGGGACAGAGACCTCTCGCAGAACAGGGACAGGGACCCCCGGGACAGGGACCCCCAGAACAGGGACAGAAACACACTCCAGGACAGGGACAGGGACCCCCGACAGGTACAGAGACCTCCAGAACAAAGACTCCCAGAACAGGGACCTCTGGACAGGGACCCCAGATCAGACAGGGACCCCCGGGACAGGGACAGAGACCCCCGGGACAGGGACAGAGACCCCGGGACAGGGACAGGACCCACGGACAGGGACAGAGACCCCGGGACAGGGACAGAGACCCCGGACAGGGACAGAGACCCCAGAACAGGGACCCCCAGAACAGGGAGCCCCGTGACAACAGGGGCTCACTGGGGCCGGGGATCCTCCGGCCCCGGCACCCCCGGTGACAGCGGGCCCGGTCCCCGGTGTCAAGAGCCCCCGGCCCTGCCCGGCAGCCCCACAGCGGGCCCGGCCCGGTCCCCCTGCCCTCCCGGTGCCGCCGTCACCTGCCGCCGCTGCTGCTCCTGCGGGCCTTGGCGCGGCGCCGCGAGGCCTCCCGTCCTTGCCGCCGGGCCGCAGCGAGGCGTAACCGTGCTCGGCCTCTGCGGAGACACAACGGCGGCCGCGGGTCAGCGCGGGCCCGGGCCCGGGGGCAGCGCGGGGGAGGAGGGGGGGTGCGCGGGGGTACCTCGCCCCGCCGCCCAGGAACCTCGGCGGCCTCCAGCAGCATCTGGATGCCGAGGCGGGGGCGGACCATGGCGGGGCCGGGACGGGCCGGTCCGGCGGCGGGGGCGCGGCGGCCTCTGCCCGCCCCGAGCGGCCGCTCCGCCAGGCCCCGCGCGGGCCCCGCCCCCAAAGCGCCCATTGGCCCCCGCTGGGGGAGGCCCCGCCCATCGCGGGGGCTCATTGGCGGGCGCTGAAGGAAGCCCCGCCCAGCGCCCGCACGAGCGGCGCTGCGGGGCGTGGCGGCGCCCGAAGGCCCCACCCCCCGTCAGCTGTGATTGGGCGGGAGAGGCACGCCCTCCTGCCATTGGTCCACCCACCAACGGCCCCGCCCCGCCGCCGCACGCGCTGCCCCCTGACTCACTTCCTGCCGCGCAGCCACGGCGGGGCCGGACGGGGAAGGGGCGGGGCATCGGGTTAGGCGGTGGGGGTGGGGCAACGTGAGACCTGCGGGGACCCCTGGGACAGGGACAGGGACCCCCCGGGACAGGGACAGAGACCCCCGGGACAGGGACAGAGACCCCCAGAACAGGGACAGGGACCCCGGGACAGGGACCCCCGGGACAGGGACAGAGACCCCGGGACAGGGACCCCCGGGACAGGGACCCCCAGAACAGGGACAGGGACCCCGGGACAGAGACCCTCAGAACAGGGACCCCCAGAACAGGGGCAGGGACCCCCAGAACAGGGACAGGGACAGAGACCCCCGGGACAGGGACCCCCAGAACAGGGACAGGGACCCCCAGAACAGGGACAGGGACCCCCCGGGACAGGGACAGAGACCCCCGGGACAGGGACAGGGACCCCCCGGGACAGGGACCCCCCGGGACAGGGACCCCCGGGACAGGGACAGGGACCCCCAGAACAGGGACCCCCGGGACAGGGACAGGGACCCCCAGAACAGGGACCCCCGGGACAGGGACAGAGACCCCCCGGGACAGGGACAGAGACCCCCAGAACAGGGACAGGGACCCCCAGAACAGGGACAGAGACCCCCCGGGACAGGGACAGAGACCCCCAGAACAGGGACAGAGACCCCCAGAACAGGGACCCCCAGAACAGGGACAGAGACAGAACAGGACAGGGACCCCCGGGACAGGGACCCCCAGAACAGGGACAGAAACACACCAGGACAGGGACAGGGACCCCCCGGGACAGGTACAGAGACCTCCAGAACAAAGACCCCCAGAACAGGGACCCCCGGGACAGGGACCCCCAGAACAGTGACAGGGACCCCCGGGACAGGGACCCCCGGGACAGGGACAGACCAGGACAGGGACCCCCAGAACAGGGACAGACGCTCCCCAGGACAGACACCCCTGAGAAAGGACCCCCCAGGACACCCCCTTCATGTCTGGGATCCCCACCCCAGGGCAGGGACCACCCACCCAAAGGGCTGTGAGTCCCCTTGAGCAGGGACCCCCAAGTGCAGCTCCTTCATGGCTGGGACCCCCCACCGCAGGGCAGGGACCCCCTTTGGGGTCAGGTGATGGGAAAGGGCCCCCCCACTCCCAGCACCTCCAGTTTGAGGCCAGGGCTCAAATGGGGCCCCTCGGGATTCAACTGATTTGTATCAATTCCCAACGATTTGTGGGAGGGGGAATTGGGTTTAAATGTTGCGGTTTGGGTGTAAATCCGGAGGTTTGCAGCAACCTCTCCCTCCCCCGCCTCATCCCTGAATGATAAAAATTAAAGGAAAAAATAGATCCGGGGTTTTATTAACAGGGAAACAAAGCAAAACCAGGGAACACACAGCAAAATCCTGGCCAGGAACCGACCTCTTTGTACAAAAATAATACCAAAAATCTGGGAAACGGCGACTTGGGGCAGCTCCGGCCGCGGGGTTCGTTGGGAATAACCCAAATTCCACTGGAATCCGGCACCAGATCCCCCCAGGAAAGCAAACTCCTTCCGTGATGGGGGCCGTGTCCCAGTGTCAGGCGATGAAATCCAGAGGCCTGTTGAATCCTCCTTTCCTGTTCATGTACTGCCTGGGCCGGGATGGAGCCAGAGTCAGCCCCTGGATCCAGGGAAATCGGGACAAAAACACCCTGGGGAGGCTGGGAACGGGGCTTGAGAGCTACAGGGAAGCCAATTCCTTATGGATTTGACCAAAAACAGGGCAGGAAAGCTCCCAGTGAGGAGCTGCTCCGGAGGGTGGGCTGTGTGGGGATCCCGGGAGCGCAGCCTGGCTCTACCCTCAAATTCCCATCAAAAAGGGAACGGAACTGAGAAATTGGATGTTCTTTGGGAATAAAGCAGGTGAACAGCGTCGCTTCCCACTGCTCCAATCCTGCCCACCCCACTCTCCTCACCCCCCTCAATTTTCCCATTCCCAGGGGGATCCAAACACCTCTCATCGCTGGTTTTGCCTGTAAACCCCACAGAATTCCTATTTTCCCAAGGCCTGGCAGCAGGATCACCCCAAGGGCAGTGGCCACAGTTACCTCATCAAACAAATCCTTTCTCTACCCCAAAAAAAAGGTGGGACACACCTGTACTTCCTCTTCTGGGACACGTTGATGGCGTAGGCATTGGCAGCACCGTCCACCTTCTTCCCCTGAGGAGAAACATTCCCCAAATCCCGTGGATTGCCCCCAGACAGGGCAGGTGACACCACGGAGCCCACAGGGGTGGCCTCAGGCCCCACACTCACCTTGGTGGTGTCAAAGGAGGCAAAGCCCATCATCTTCATCATCTCAATCTCCTCCTCTGTCTTGCCCTGCAGATCTTCCTCTGAGGGAATGAAATCGGGGATTGGGCAAACATAGATTTTTGGATTCCCAAAAATCCTGGTATCCCTGGGCTGGTCTCACAGGGGATGTTGAGTGTTTCAGAAGGAAAATCCCCCCCTCACCTGTGATCTGTCTCTCCTTCTTGGAGTCTTTGATCTCCTTCTTCTCCTCATCCCGGCGTTCCTTGGGCCGCACTGGTGACGAGGAGCTGGAGCGGTGCCGGCGCGGGGACCTGCTGGGACACACGGGGTGGGGCTGCAATTCCCGCCTGGATTTCCCACCTGGAGCTCCCACTGGCCCCATGTCACCCAAGAGCCCTCACCCGGCTGTCCCCACCCCACACTGGTGTCCCTGCCTGGCCTGGATGCTCCCCACCCTTATGTGGATCATCCCTGCCCTCACCTGGATCATCCCCATCTTCATCTGGATCATCCCTGCCCTCACCTGGATGTCCCTGCCCTTACCTGGATGGTCCCCGCCTTCACCTGCATCATCCCTGCCCTCACCTGGATCATCCCCATCTTCATCTGGATGTCTCTTCCCTCACCTGCATCATCCCTACCCTCACCTGGATCATCCCTGCCCTCACCTGGATGTCCCTGCCCTTACCTGGTTGGTCCCTGCCTTCACCTGGTTGGTCCCTGCCTTCACCTGCATCATTCCTGCCTTCACCTGGATCATCCCCATCTTCATCTGGATCATCCCTGCCCTCACCTGGATGTCCCTGCCCTCACCTGGATCGTCTCCGGTGCGGGGAGCGGGACCGGCTCCTCCTCCTGTCCCTGTCCCGGGACCGGGATCGCTCCCGCCGCCGCCTGTCCCTGTCCCGGGACGTGGAGCGCGAGCGCCGGCGCTCTGCCCAGGGAAGGGTCAGCTCCTGCTTCCCTGCCCACCTCCCAAGGGAAACCCCGACAGAAAATCCCAGCTCCCGAGCACGGACCCTGGGACAGCCCCTCCCTGACCCCCAGGCCCAGGGACCCCACATACCCTGTCCCATGTCCCAGCCCTCCCTGACCCCCCAGCAGAGTTCTGGGCTCAGGGACCCCCACGGGCACCCCCGGGAGTGGGAAGAGCAGCAGGAAAAGCCTCCATTCGGGAGGTGGGAATCACCCGGGATTGGGGGGATCCAGCTGATGGGTGATGGGCCCCAAAAAGCTGAGAGAAGGGCCGAAGGAGGAGGAAGAGAGGAAGAGGAGAAGAAGGAGTAGGGGGAGAAGAGGAGGAGGAAAAAGAAAAGAAGGAGGAAGACGAGGAGGAGAAAGGAGATGAGGAGAAAGAGATGAGGAAGGAGGGAACCTCTGCTCTGCCCAGAGCGAAGAGCCGAGGCCTCACCGCCGCTTCTGCCCTGGAGGGTTTTGGGGAGCCCCCGGACCGCTCCAACCCCTGGGCCGCCCCAGACCCCGCTCCGGCCCCGGGTCTGGCCCTTCCAACTGCCCTGCACGGCCCGGCACCCCCGGTCCCGGCCCCGGCCCCTCCCGGGTCCTCCCCAGCCCCCTCAGCCGCCCCGGCCCCCACAGATCCCCCTTCACCCCCCTGGGTCCCGCCAGGGCCCCTCTCACCCCGGGTCCCCTCACTCCCCTCACCCCGGGTCCCCCCTCCCCTCACCCCGGGTCCCCTCAGCCCCCGTCCCCTCAGCCCCCTGAGCCCGGTGCCCTCACCCCGCCGCGGCGGTGACCGGGAGCGGCTGCGGCCCATGGCCGCCCCTCAGCGCGCTCAGCTCCCGGAGCGGGAACCGCAGGAACGGCCCCGGCAGATGCTGCGGGAGCGCCTCAGCAACACATCGGGACCTGCCAGCGCCCGCCCCACAGCCCCGAGAGCGGGAGGACGGAAGGGGAGGGAAGGGGGACGGGCCGGCCGAGCCATTTCCTTCCGCCGGGAGCGCTCCTGCGGCCCGGGCAGGGCTGGCGTGGGTCGGGATGGATCAGGGATCCACCTGCGGCTCGTGGAGGGTCAGGGTGGATCAGGGATCCACCCGCAGCCCTGAAGAGCCCACCCGGAGCAGGGGGATGCCCGAGCCGGACTGTGACCCCCGTGCTGGAGCAGGTCCTGGTGGGGACCTGGAGAGAGGAGCCCAGGCTGGACAGGTTTGCTGGAAGGACATGAGAGCCTTTGGGGGACCCCCCTTGGAGCAGGGGGAGGACTCGGACTGGTCTCCCTGAGCAGCAGCAGAAACAACCCCCGTGGTGAGCTGACCGTGCCCCCCATTCCCGTCTCCCTGGGCTGCTGGAGGGGGTGAAGGGAGAGCCCGGGCAGGAGGGAGGGGTGGGGGGCAGATGCTTGTAAAGCTCTGATTTTGTTGGTAATAAATTCAGTGAATATCCCCCCGGTGAGTCTGTTTTGCCTTTCCATCTTCCCCAAATTAATTTAATATTAACTTGTACTTTTCCCTAGCCCAGCTCCTAAAGAAGCTGAAAAGACCCCCAGCTATCCAGCACTTCAGTGGATGCAGTTCATGCAAACCAGACTTAGAGACTTTGTAGCTACAACACAAGGAAGTATGAATTGATTCAGAAATAACCAGTGCAGGAGCAAACAAGGGACCAGAGACTGGGGACAGAAATCATCCAAGTGCTGGAGATAACACTGGGCTTTTTTTTTCCCCAAAAAACAAGTAAAACTCGTAGTGATGGTCCTTCTTTTGTACTGTGAATGTGATGCTCTTGTTGGCTTCTTGCTTGACTTGTGGATATGTCTCCTGAATGTATCCTCGGGAAATGGAGCCAGTCCTGTGTTCCTTCACACCAACAAGTGCTTTTAACTTGGTTTTTCTTCTCACAACTGTTAGCAAAATTCAGGATAAATAAGCATTGGCATTTTTAGTGGACATGTTTTTAACTGCTGGCTTAAGTTACAGCTGTATTTAAGAAAGGGAAAAACCCCTTTTTCCCTAGTAGATAACTTTGGCAAGAGAATTCAATATAGTGGTCAAACTGAAACAGTTTAAAATACTAAATTTAATGGCTGTAGTACATTTTACACTGCTTGGCAGTGGGCAATTAAATGCCAGTTAAGTTGGCATGAAGTTCTACAATTAACCAAGTATTTCACATATCTTGCTTTGATTGCCACCTTAGGTTACTGGCTTAATATCCTGGCATCTTTTCATGTCATTACAGAGACAGGTTTATATTTCTTGGTGGTCCCTGTGTGTTTTTTCCTTAGAATAGCTAAGAATGTGTCATTTAACACCCCTCGGAGTCACGAGGCTCACGTTCTTTGCCGGGAGAACCAGAGAGTTTTCAAAGCTCTCATTTCAGTTGAAAACATCTCCCTAATGTGGTTTCTGTTCTCCTGAATGGGAGTCACCACCAGGTAGATGGTTATTATTAGGCAGCAATGAAAACAGACCCCAGTAATTTTGTCTTGCTTTTTCTTACTGTGATTTTAGACCATGTGAAGGCCGAGAAGGGGAATGGTCTGCTTGTAACTCTTATCCTACCAACGTGGCTCTTCTTGCCGTAGCTCCAGTCCTGTCCCTGCTGGCAAAATGCAGATCTGCTTTAAAATGTGACTATTAGACTTGCCATAAAGCTTATCCTTTCCACTCCCACCTCCAGGCTGTTCCCTCCAGGAGATGTGACAGATCACAGGCTGTGCAAACAGTCACGGGCTGGAGGTTCCTGCATCAGTCTGGGGGGACTTTTCAGATTTGAATATGAACCAAGACACTTTAATTATTTTGGGTCAGAAAATTTGTTTCTGACTGGCAGCATCTTCTACAAGCAAAGCTACTGAGATAAATTGTGGGAGGCAGCAATTCCTCAGCAAAACTAATTTTGTGACTGGCCTGATTTTCCCCAGATTCCACCCGAAAATCCACCTAATTAGATGAGCACAACCCCTGCTGTCACACACCTCTCCTGCTGCAGAGGAGAGACAAAATTTGAAGTTCTTGGAGTTCAGCCCCCCACTTTGGGATGGAAAGTGTTGTGTTTTAGTGAGAACACCACAATCAGTCTGCACACCATAACTCATGACAGCGCAGAGGCTAAAAACTAACCTGAAGTGTATTTAAATATTCTCAAGATGACAACCCAGTTTTTAAGTTGAGGGGTGAAATAATGGAGCTCGGGCTCTGCAATCTCAGCCCTCCATCACTCCCAGCCACTCCCCACCATTTCTGTTCCTGCTGAGCATCCACAGAGAGGGAAAAGGGAGTGAGTGCTTTCCCCCATCAGGAGATGGCACAGCTCCTCTGGGCTGTGCAGCTGCTCTCTGCAGTTCCCTCTCCCCATTTGTGGCTGGAGGGTGTTTTTATGGCAGCTGGGAGGAGGGAAGAGCAGGAAAGGCTTTGCAGAGGCTGGAAGGCAGAGCAGCCAGGCTGCCTGAGCCGGGGGGCCAGTGAGGCTGTGGGCAGCTGAGCAGGGCACGGGTGTTTCTCTGGCCTCTCCCAAGTGTTGATCCAGCTGCTGCATCCTCTGGGAAACACGAGGGAAACGTGGGAAAGCCAACATCCATGTGGAACATGGCAGTGCTTGTCTAGTTACCAGCACATCTCCCCTTGTCCCCCCCTGCACCCAGAAAGGAACCAAGACCTGAATTTCCCTTGTCAGGGGGGTCCCTTCAAATTTCCAAGGAGAACTTGGTGTCTGTCCCCTCAAAGGGAAGGGGAGGAGAGACTGTGCAGCAGTTCCAGTGGTGTCTTCCAGACCCCCAGGCAAATCCTTAAGGGTTCTCAAACGTTAACATTTCTGTGGGTTAAAATAAATAGGCTCCACTCCAGGCCCAGCCCCAGCCCCACCTCTATCCCCACCTCCATCCCTCTGTCCATCCACATACCATCCTCAGCCCTATCTCTATCTACCCCCGACCCATCCCCACCCCCAGCTCCATCCCAACTCATCCCAGCTCCATCTCATCCCCACCTCCGTGCCCTTCCCCATTCCATCCTCATCTCCCATCCCTTCCTCTAGCCCATCTCAGCTCCATCCCCACCTCCATCCCCCTCCCCATCCCGTTATCCCCATCCCCACCCCATCCCTATCTCACCCCCATCCCCAGCTTTATCCCCACCCCGTCCCACCTCCCTCCCACCCCCCCGAGCCCAGCACCCCCCTTTCTGCCCCCACAGTCTGCGGGCGCTGCCGGGTGCCAAACACGGGGTTGATTTGTTTATTTACACCGGCGTTCCACCGCTCCCGGCCGCGATTGTCACACGCGGGGACATCCCCCATCCCGCCTGCTCCCGGCGGCGTTCCCGGGGCTTCATCCCGCCCAGCCCCTGGTGGGAAAAGGGGCTCTGAATCCAGCTGGATCCATGGAATTGCCCTCCCCGCGGCCAACACGGGGATCCAGCTCTGTTCCCCGGCACAGGCCCCGGACAGGGATTTGCCTGCCCTGGAGAGACCCCCACCCTGAGCCTCGCTGGAGCGAGGGGAGGGGGAAGCAGGGAGCCAGGACGGGGAGGTTATCCCAAGGGTGATCCTGGGATGTGATCTTGGATCCCTGTCCTTCCAGCTGCGCAGCCAGGACGGGCCCTCGTGGTGGGGGTGATGGTGGCACTGGAGCCTTTGTCCCTGCTGGGACACCGAATCCCTCCCTGCCCAGGAGCCCCGGAATTCCACGGACAGGGAAATCAATCCCTGTCACCCCTGCAAAGCCCATGGTCCTTGGAGAAAGGAGTGGCAAAGGCCCTGGGGACAGACCCTCAGGGACAAAGGGGTGCCAAAGCCCCCAGGACACCCCCCAGCTGGGCTGGGCTGTGTGGCAGTGCTGTCATTCAGGAATGCCCCCCGGGTGTGATGGTGCCACCCGGAGAGGTGACACAGCTATCCCTGGGGGTTCTGCTGCCCCGGGTCACCCAGGGGGAACAGGCTCGGGGACAAAATGGCCTCAGAGAGCCTTAAAATCAGTGGCAGTGAGGAACAGCCCCCCTGGTGACAGGGCTGGGGGCACAGAGGGGGTCTGAGGGCTCCCCTTGGTCCCCCCAGTCCCTGCAGGAGCAGGATAGGGACCTGGGAGGGACACTGGGCAGGGTAAAGGCTCTTCCCAAACTCCAGGCTTGGGTTGGCTATGGGGGTCTGGGAACATCCCTGCCCAGGGGTCTCTCTGCTATTTCCTGTACCCCAATCCCTCCCCACACCCCATCCCATGGGCTTCCTGCTCTTCCAGAGGGGATCCAACCCCTGAGCTGCCTCACAGTGGTGCAAAGCCTCGAAACCACAGTGATGGCACAGGGGAAAATCCTGCTGGGGGTGAGGAAACCCCAATACAGGGGTTCTGGGGTGCCCCAGAGCCCCCCGGACAGGACCTCCTGGAGGGCTCAGGGTGAGGCTGGGGGGCTGATCCGTTGGTTTACCCCCAAAATCCCAGCACTGGAGCGGCTGCAGGGAAGACCAGCAGGGCTGGGGCTTTTCTTCCTGGGAAGAGGTTTGGCTGGGAGGTTGTAACACTGGGAGGGAAGGGAACACCAGGAAGGATTGAACTTGTGCTGGGAGTCCAGAGCTGGGAAAAGCGGGGATCCCTCGTGGGTGGGGCGGTGTGAGCGGGGCCGGGGGGTGCCGGCGGGAGTTGGCAGCGTGTGTTCATCCCGAAGTAGCACTTAGTGAGTGAGTTTTGCTCAGTTTTAAATAACACAGACGATTCCCGGAGGTGGTTTTTTTCCCTATTTTCCCAGGTGCGGGTCGTGCGGTGAGGTGGGGGCTTTTCCAGTGGCGGGGAATCCTGCTGCTCTTCCTCGGGTGGGGGAGACGTGGGGTGGGAGCACCAGGGGAAGGGGAGGAAGCGGTTCTTCAGCCCAAGGAGAGGAAGATTACGATCCAGGAAGGAGAAACCTTGGCTTCTCCTTTGGGAAGAGCAATCGCCCACCTTCATCTCGATCCCATTCTCCCGGTGAAGCAACAGGCAGTTTTCCCTGGGGATGAAGCCAACGCCATTCCAGCAGAGCTTGAAACAGAAGGTGAAGAAAATAACCACAAAACACCCTTTTCTTCCTCAAATCAAGCAGATCCGGGCTCTGGTGGGAAAATCCAACCCTCGGCTCCTGGTGGGAAGGGGCCAGAGCCCGGGAGGGAGAGGGGAGGGAGATGCAGCGGGAATTTCCCCAGAGGGGGACCACAGTCTCTCTAAGCTCGGTGACCGCCTCCGGAAGCAGGTGACAAGGGGGACGAGGTGCCTCGTGCCAGGAGGACCCGGAAAGCAGCCGGATTCCGGGGGTTTGGGGCTGGGCCTCGGCCAGACGCACGAGGCAGGAGCCGTCCCCCCGCCCCAGAGTTCCCGGGGATCCCAGGGATGGCCACCACTGCCAGCGAGGCCTCTGGGGAGACTCAGGATTCGATCTTTTCCTTCTTTTTGCCTTTTTTCAGGAAAGACGGGGTCCGGAATTTCTTCTTCTTCTTGGAGGGGGATTTGGAGGGTGAACCGTCGGGGGAGACGGGGGTGCTGGTCACCGTCTCCTTCTCCTTGGGGACATCCTGGTCGGCGTTGGGGGCTGTCCGGTCCGTCCCCCCTTTTCCCAGCTTTTCCTCGGTGCTTTGCTCCTCGTCCTTCCCGTTCACCACCACCGGCGGCTCCTTCTTGGCGGTGGAATCGACCAGGGCTTGGCCGCCATCCACCTTCTTGTCACCTTGGGAGGGGAGAGGGGACAGGGAATTGGGGTGGCAGTGCCAGTGCTGGTGGGGTTTGATCCCCCCAGTCACCAGTGGGGCCTGGGCAGGAGCAGGATTTGGCCTCCAGGGATGGAGAACGCTGGGATTTGATCCCATCCTGCTGCAGGTGCCTCTTCCCTGAACCTCCCCCCTCCCTGCGGGACAAGCGATGTGGGATGGAGAGCTGGCAGGAGGCAGCGGGAAAAGCAGGAAGCAAACAAGGAGGGATTTCCCAAGGGATTTCCTAAGGGATTTCCTTCCTCGGGGGTCCCTGAGTGGGCCACGGAGAGCAAAGTTCCCCCCGAGCCCGTGTCCCTCCTCCGGGATGGCCTCTCCGTACTTACTACGGTACCAGGGATTCAGGGATAACTCCTTGGGTGACAGGCACAGGGGGAGGAAAGAGAAAGGAGACATTGTGGAGACAGACAGACAGACAGACACCACGAGACACCATGGCAGAGCCAGCAGCCCCGAGCCCCGACACCCGCAGCCGACCGCAATGACGGGAACATCGCACCCACCGGAGCGCGAGATGGGGGACAGGGGGGTCCCCTGCACCCCACAGAGCCACCAGAGGACACCCCTGTCCTCCTGCCACGAACCCCACTGGGGCTTGGCCCCTCCGGGGTAGGGACCCCCCGGGACAGGCAGAGGGCACATCGAGCTGTGTCTCAGCGCGGTTTGCCCACTGCCCCCTCATCCCCCCACTCCACCTGCTCAGGGGGACCCCGCTCCTGGTTTTGGGGTGCTCGTCACCCCACTCACCCTCCGTGGGCTCCGTGGGCGCCGGGGGCTCCGGGGTGGAGCTGGGGGGCGGTTTGGGTGGGGGAGCCCCGCTCTCCTCGGCCGCTGCGTCCTTCTCGCCTGCCACGGAGAGACACGTTGGCCAGGGGTGTCCTGGGTGCCACCCGGGGGGAGAGGGGGATTTTGGGGTGCCCCTCCTACCCTGCAGCCGCTTCTTCCTCTCCACCTCCTGCCTGTACTCCTCCAGCTCCTGGTCCGTGAGCTGGCTGAAGGGGTTGGGGGGCTCTGGCTCGGGGGGAGCCTCTTCCCGGGAGCCCTCCTTGGCCTCTGCATCCCCCAGATGGCTCTCGGTGGACTGAAACAGACCCCCCAGTGACGTCAGTCCCCCTGGAACACTGTCACCCCCTCCAGAGTGGTGTCACATCCCCCCTCAGAGCACCGTCAACCTCCTCCAGAGTGGTGTCACCCCCTCCACAGCAGTGTCACCCCCTCTGGAGTGGTGTCACCCCCTTCACCAGTGGAATGCCGGGGAGGGAAGGGCTGGTGGTCTGAGGAGGGGGATGTGTGGTGACGCGGGGCTGGGGACACTGGGGGACATTGGACTGGGAATATGGGGTGACATGGGGCTGGGGACATCAGGGGATATGGGGTGACAGAGGGTGATGTGGGGCTGGGTGTGCAGGGCTGGGGACACAGTGTGGCATGAGGTGACACAGTGCCATATACGGGACTGTGGCTGGTCAGCAGCTGTGACTGGGGATTTGGGGTGACAAGGGGTTGGGGAAATGGGGTGACACAGGGCTGGGGACACAGGGGGACACGGGGGGACACAGGGCCGTACGGGGCTGCGGCTGGTCTCGGCGATGACACTGGCCAGCAGCTGTGACTGGGGCCCGGCTGACTTCACGTCCTGGCGGTTTTGCTCCCGGATCTGTGGGTGAGGACAGGAATAAATCCCCCTGAGGACGGGGATAAATGCCCCCAAGGACAGGGATAAATCCCCCACCCCACCCCGAGACCCCCGTGCCCCCATCCCACCCCAGGCTCTGTGGGGTCCCACCTTGTTGCGCATCTCCAGCACCTCCTGCGGGTCCGTGTAGAGGGGCACGAACTGGTTGGGGTTCTCGATGCGAATGGGGGTCCCACTGGTGCCCTTCTCCACCTCGTCCGCTCGCAGCCACTGCAGGACCAGGGAGGGAATCCCAGAAAAGGCATGTTGGGAAGGGGGGAGACCCCAGTAATAGAAGGGAGACCCCGATAATAGAGGAGAGACACAACAAGTGCAGGGGGAGAGTGATAAAAGCAAGTTGTGCAGAGGGGAGATCTCAGTGTAGAGGTGAGACACAGTAAATGCATCTTGTACAGGGGGGAGACCCTGACACATGCATCTTACACGGAGGAAAGACCTCAGTAGTAGAGGGGAGACCCCAGTAAATGCATTTTACATAGAGGGGAGATCCTGATAAACATAGGAATACCCTGACAAATGCACCTTGTGTAGGGGGGAGACCCTGATAATAGAGGAGAGACTCCAATAAATGCAGAGAGACCCAAATAAACTCAACTTACAGAGAAGGGAGACCCCAATAAATGTGGGGAGACCACAATAAACTCATCTTACACAGAGGGCAGATCCCATGAAACGCATTTTGCATAAAGAGGAGACTCCAATAACAGAGGGGAGGCCCTGACAAAGCCAATGGCTCTTAGTCCACTGGAAAGGGGTGGTGGGATTTCAAACCAATCATTATTACAAGCTGAGGTGGATTCCCAGGCCTTTCAAATTTTAGGGGGATCAATAACATCTCAGCCACCCCTATCTGGGATCCCCCAAATGATACCCATCACCATCCCAGACACAAACCCCTTCCCAAATCTCCCCAACCCCCTCCCCATGCAGCCCCATCTGTCCCTCACCGTGGTCTTTGTCCTCTGGCCGCCGCCCTGCGGCTCCTCGGCCAGGTTGACCCTGGTGTAGGTGTTGGGGGTGTTGAGCCACCTCGTCTTCTCCTTCTGCTGCTTCTGGGCGTGCTGGCGCAGCGCGGGGGTCCCGGCGGGCTCCTCCTCGAACACGAAGGCCGTCACGGTGGCCGGGATGAGCACGTCGCTCTTGGGCTTGCTCTTCTCCTGCACGAAGGGGTAGCGGTACGTGTAGCCCGTGCGGTACCCCTGGGAGAGCAGAGAGCAGCAGTCGTCAGGACAGGGACAGCAAAGAGGCGCCTGAGCGCGTTTTGGGGGGTCTGGGGGGGGGTTTGGTGGGTTTGGGGTGCTCACCAGGTTGTCCAGCATCCTCATGAGGGCCTCGAACTCGTGCTCGCCCAGGCGGCTCTTGTGCAGGGGCCCGAAGGTGGTGCCAGCGCGGCGCACGGCGCTGGGGCCGTGGGGCACCCGCTGCTTGGCCCCCTCCAGCACGATCAGGTTCTCAGCGCCGCCTGCGCTCGCCAGCGCCGACACCTACCCGGGGCATGGCATGGGGTGAGGGGAGGGGGGACGTGGGGCAGCCCCAGACCTGCCCACGGCCCTGTGCTGGCACACCTGGGGCGCTGTGGGGGGCTGAGACCTGGCCCAGCTCAGTGCATGGACCCAGAACACTGCTCTGACTGCAGAGACCTGGCACAGCTCAGTGCATGGACACAGGACACTGCACTGACTGCAGAGACCTGTCCCAGCTCAGTGCATGGACCCAGGACACTGCTCTGACTGCAGAGACCTGGCATAGCTCAGTGCATGGACCCAGAACACTGCTCTGACTGCAGAGACCTGGCCCAGCTCAGTGCATGTTCCTGGGGCCTGTGGCTGAGCTGAGCCCACGCACAGCTCCGTGCTCGTTCCTGAGGGTACCACAGTGTTGGCTGAGGCCGTGCACAACTCAGGGCTCACCCCCAGGGTCTCCGGGCTGTCAGCTGAGCCCACACACAGCTCATCACCCACCCCGCACTCACCTGGACCTCGCAGGCCGCCTGCAGGTGGAAGATGCTGTAAAAAGCCTCCTCAGCCGTGTCCCCCAGCGCCAGCACCCCGTGGTTCCGCAGCACCAGGATCTGCAGCACCGCGGGAGCTCAGCGGGGTGGGGAGGGGGTGCTGGGATGACCCCCACTCCCCCCCCAGGGTGCCCCCTCACCTTGCAGGTGGGCCCGAGGCACTTCTGGAGCTCCACCCGGTCGGCCTCATCCTCCACCTCCCCGCGGAAGTCGAAGTAGGCGACGTCCCCCAGGAGCAGTGCGGCCCGCGAGATGGGCAGGAGCCCGCAGCGCATGGCCGACACCTGGGCATGGGGGGGACAGGGCAGGGGGGCCCAGGGTACCCCAGCACCCCAAACAACCCCAAAAAACAACAACACCCCAAAAACCCACCCTCAAACCCACACCGACATCCCACACAAAGGAACACAACAACAAAGAACCCCACAAACTCCACTCCCCAAAAAACCCACAACCCCCCAAAATCCCCCCAAAATCAATTGCCTAAACTCCCCCCAAACCTCCCACCACCCCAACTACAAGATCCCGCCCAAAACCAAACTGCCCCCAAAGAGCCCAAACAACCCCAACCCCCAGAAACACCCCCAGCTACCTCCATCTCTCCCTGTCCCCTCCAAACCCCCAACACTCCCAAATCCCCATAATACACTTCAAGGCCCCAGAATCCTCCCCAACCCAATGCTTCCCTCAGACACCCAACTTCCTTAACCCCCCCATGTACCCAAATCCCCCCATCCCCCAACTTGCCCTGTCCCCCCTAACCCCCAAGAACCCCAAGTCTCCAAAACATCCTTCAAACCCCCAAATCCCCCAACTCCCCAGATCCATCCAACTCCCTAACCCCACCCTCCAAAAATACCCCCAATTCTCCCAGTCCCCCAAACCCCCAATGCCCCCAAATCCCTGTAATACCCTTCAAACACCAAATCCCCCAAACCCCATCTTCCCCAGACTTCCCAATCCCCATCCCCCAAGTTCCTCCATCCTTCAATGCCCTCAAATCCAGGTAACGCCCTTCAAATCCCCACGCCCCCCAACCCCAACTTACCCCAATGATCCCCAACTCCCTAAACTCCCATGAACCCAAAATTCCTGTCCCCCAACTCTCCCTGTCTCCCAACCCCAATCCCTGAAATACCATTCCAACTCCCCAAATTCCCCCAACTCCCCTAACTCCCGCCAACCCCAACTTCCCTGAAGACCCCAAACACCCCAAAAGACCCCCAGCTCCTCTAACCACTGTCCCCCCAAACACCCCCAACTCACCCTGTCTCCCCCAAGCCCCCAGTGCTGCCAAATCCCCATAAAACCCTCTAAACCCCCAGATTCCCCAATTCCAATTTTCCTGCAGACCCCATCCCCCTCCCCAAAATCCCAACATCCCAATTCCCCCAAACCCCAACTCCCCGATCCTCCACCGCTCCGCCAACCCACACCCCCCATCCTCCCACGTCCCCAAATCGCCGTGACACCCTTCAAGCCCCCAGATCCCGCCGAAGCCCAATCTCCCCGAAGCCCCCCAGCCCCCCGAAGCCCCCCGTGCCGTACAGCGGCCGCGGCCGGGGTGTGCAGCCGCACGATGCAGCGGATGTCGGGGCGCGCCGCGTAGATCGCGGCGTGGAGGCTGAAGCTGCGGGCGTCGGGCGCGAAGCCGGTGCTGCCCTGCTCCACCACGGCCCCCAGCACGTTCACCTTCACCTGGGGGGCGCGGGGGAGTCAGGGGGGACGGTCCTTCCTCCCCCCAGACAGCCAGAGGGGAGCGTGGGGAGGGGGGCTCACCAGGCTGGCCGCGGTCACCTCGCTGCACGCCAAGCCCTGCGGGGCCACCAGGAAGTGCTCCTGCTCCTTGCTGACCCGCAGCTGTCACAGGCGGGGACAGAGGGGCGTGAGAAACAAGCCAACCCCCCAAAAAAAACCCATCCTGCATCCCCCTCAAAATATGACCCCTCCAAGTGCTCCCAGACCCTTAAAAAAATCTATGATCTTCCCCTCAAACTGACACCCCTAAAGAACCCCCCAACTACTCACAAAGCCCCAAGCCCCTCAAACTTCCCCCCCCAAAATCCTCAACCCCCCCAAAATCCCAACCTCCACAGAACCCCCCAACAACTCCCCAAACCTCCTCAAAATCCCCATCTTCCCCCAAATCTCCAACCCCCTCCCCAAAGGCCCCAAACCTCCCTAACTCCCCCAGATCTCCCTAAAACCCCACTTCCCCATCCCCAACCCCCTAAATCCCCCAGACAACCCCAACCCCCCCAGGGCCCCCGTGGCGGTGTTGGGGTGCTCACAGTGACGGCGGCGTGCCCCAGCTGTGCCCAGCCGTACAGGTCCAGCAGCCGGTGGATGCTGCCCACCTTGCAGCGCATCAGCCGCTCGCCCTTGGCCAGCGCCGGCCCCTCCGTGCCGTGCAGGTCGTTAATGGGGGTGACCGATGCCAGCCCTGGCCATTGGGAACCCCCCTGTCAGCAGTGGGACCCCCCCAAGCCGCAGGGGGGTTCACCAAGGACAGGGGAGAGTTGTGGGGATGGGTTTGCTGGCCCTCAAGGTTTGATGACCCCAAAGGTTTTGGAGGTCCCCAAGGTTTGTCTGGTGGCCCTCAAAGGTTTGGTTGGCCCCAAGGTTTGGTGGCCCCCGAAGATTTGGTGTTCCTCAAAGGGTTGTGGGGTTCCCAAGGGTTTGGTGGCCCCCCTCAAGGTCTCAAAGGTTTGGTGACCCCAAAGGTTAGGGGGATCCCACCGGTCCCAAAAGTTTGGCGAACCTAAAGGTGTGGCCCCAAAGATTTTGGGGCCTCTCAAAGGTGTGGTGGCTCCCAAGGTTTTGGGGGTTTTCCCACCCACAGCTCCCCCATTAAACCCCCCGTGAGTGCCCCCAAACCCCTGCATGCCCCGCATACCCATGGGGGAGGTGGGCAGGGCGGCGGGGGACGTGGTGGCCATGAAGTCAGCGATCTGCCGCAGCGCCCACACGTGTGACGAGTTGTTCCCCTTCTTCATCTGCTCCTGGATCAGGCTCTCCAGCTCCTCCCGGAAGGACTGCAGCACCCGGGGACACGGTGACAACGTGGGGGGACCATTGGGGACACCGAGGGGGTGGGGGAGGGCTTGGTGGCACGGTGATGGTGGCACCACCAGCTCGGTGGCACAGCAATGGTGGCATCACCACCTTGGTGTCAGTGTCACCAGTGGCTTGGTGGCACAGTGGCAGAGGGGGCACTGGCACCTCAGTGACAGCAGCACAGGAGCAGTGACATTGACAGGTGGGGACATGCACCGAGCCAACACTTGGTGGCATCGCGGTGGCACCGACTGGCTTAGGGACAGGAGGGACGCGGCGAGGGAAGGAGGGATGGGGCAGGGACACAAAGGATGGGGTTGGGGGCAAGAGGGCTGGGCTTGGGGACAGGAAGGCTGGGACAAGAGGGAAAGGGGCTGGGGACAGAAGGGATGGGGTGGGGGACGCGGAGGAAGGGTTTGGGGACGCAAAATACAGGGTTTGGGGACAGGTGGGACGGGATGGGGGACAGGAGGGCTGGGGTTGGAGACAAGAGAGGGGGTTTGGGGACAGAAGGGACAGGGTGGGGACAGGGGCTCACCGGGCTCTGGAGGATCATGGTCACCCGCTTCTTCTGCTCCATGAGGTTGAAGTCCTGGCGCAGGTCGCCCCCCCCGCTCCGCGCCCGCAGGAACTCGGCGTCGTCCTGGGGGCGCAGCGGGGCCCAGGGGCGGGGGGCTCGGGCAGGGGCTCGGGGCTGGCGGCCGTGCTCATCCTGCGGGACACGCGGCCCGGCGCGCGGCGTCACCCCCGGCACGCGCACCATCCCAAAATACAGATTGGGAAGAGGCCACCGAAAAATACCCCACAGCTGCACCCCGCAGATAAGGCCCGCGCGGCCCCGCCCTGCCCCCGGGGGGTGACGAGTTGGGCAGGTTGGGGACACCCGGGAAGGGGGGGGATCCCCTGCTGCCTGCACCGCCCAACCTCGGTTACACCCCCCGAGGCAGCGACGGCTGAGAACGGGCACAGCTCAGCGCAGCAGTGGCTGAGAATGGGCAGCTCAATGGATATGGACTAAAGGAGACGGTGGCTGAGAACGGGCACAACTCGGTGCACGGATGGGAGCTGAGAACGGGTGCAGCTCAATACACGGATGGCTGAGAATGGACACAGTTCAGTGCACTGGTGGGAACTGAGGATGGGAGCAGCCACCAAGAACGGGCCCAGATGGGGGCACTGTGGGCACAGTGGCTGAGAATGGACACAACTCAATGCACTGATGGCAGCTGAGAACAGCCAGCTCAGTGCATTGATGGGAGGAGCAGCAGCTGAGAACGGGCAGCCTGGCACACTGATGGGAGCAGTGGCTGAGAACAGGCACAACTCAGTGCACTCACTGATGGGCATGGTGGCTGAGAACAGGCACTGCTGTGGGTGGTAGCCAGGAACGGGCCTAGCTCAGTGCACAGATGGGAGCTCAGAACGGGCCCAGCTGTGTGCACCAATGGGAACAGCAGCTGAGAACAGGCCAAACTCAACACACCGATGTGGGTGATGGCCAAGAACGAGCATAGCTCGCTGCAGCAGTGGGGCAGGGGCTGAGAGTGGGGACCACTCATGCAGCAGTGGGAGCAGCTGCTGAGAACGGGCAGCTCGGTGCACCCATGGGAGAAGGGGCTGAGAACAGGTGCAGCTCAGTATACCCACGGGAGCTGAGGACTGACAGCTCAGTGCACCGATAGGCGCTGAGAGCAGGCACAGCTCAATGCACTGAGGGGCACCGAGAATGGACACACCTCAGCACACCCACGGGTGCACCCCGTGACCCCCACCCCGAATTGGAGTCACCCAGCACCGCGGGGTTGACGCTGCAGTGCCACCGCATGTGTCAGGGTTCAAACAACACCCCCTACCGCCTCCCTAGGGATCCCCAAAACCCCGGCACTGATCCCCCCACCCCCAAGGGCATCGCCACTGAAGTGCTTTGGGAGTGCTGCTGCCCAGGGTCCCCCAAAGCACAGGGCGGGGCTGCCCCCCCAAATCGCGGAGGGTGACCCCCAAGACCCCCTCCATCACGAGGTACAGAAGTAGAGCCCCCCCCCGAAATTAGAGCCCCCCAAATTTCAGTGCTGGGTGCACACCTGGCTCAGTGGGGAGACCTTGGCTGGTGTAAAATCCGGGGGGGGGCCCGGTGCCCCCCAGGCCGCAGGGCCTGAGCACGCCCAGGGAGCAGAGGGGGCTCTAAGGGCCCCCCCTCAACCCCGGGGGGGGCTGTGGGTGGGGTAGGACCCCCCAAAGCTGCCCCCTCCCAGCATCCTCCCCCACGCCGCCTCCGCCCTCGCCGCGCCCAGCGCCGCTGCGGCAGCCGCAGGGCGGGGGGGGAGAGGGAAAACCGGGATGGATTTGGGGGCTGCAGCATCGCCCACCCTCCCCGGGGTGGGGATGCAGTGGGGGAGGGGTGGGGTCAGGTACCACTGAGGGATGGAGGCCTGGGAAAGGGGGAGGGGAGGGATGCAGCCCCCACACCTGCATGCAGCCAGATGGGAGGGAGTGGAAAAGGGAGGTCACCCAGCCGCCCCCTACCCCAGAATTCCCCCTCCCATGGATGCTGCGCCCGGGGGCTGCTGCCATCACCCACCTTCCTCCTCCTCCTCCTCAGAGCATCCTGACAAAGGGCCGCCCCCGACACACCACGCGTGTCCCCGCACCTCCCCCGCCCGCCCTCCCCCAGCCCCCCGAGAACTCAATCACTGCAAATAAACAAGGGGGGAAGCCCCCAAAACAGCGCTGACACTCCACAATCTCCTTTTATTCTGCAGTTAATTGGGATTTATATTAATAATCATTAATCGGCCCTCACCTGGGGAGGAGGGGCAGCTAATTACTAATTATTAATTACAATTTCATAGGTCAATTAATTACAGCTCTGCCCCCCTTCACCTCCGTGTTTTAGGGGTGATGGACCCGCCCCCTCACCCCCAGTTTTGGGGTGCTGATTTCACGGGGTGCAGGGCTTTGGGACAGGAGTGTGACCCCATTCTTGGGGTCTGGAGCCTTGAACTTGGCCGTTGGGGGGGTCCCCCTCGGGACCCCCTGGAATTTTGGGGACAGCAGGAATAACCTTAAAAAAAAAAAAAAAAAAGAAAGAAAAAGGTTTTTTCGCACCTTTGGAATATTTTGGGGTAAAAGGTGCTTTGAAGCCCCCCACCATGTTTATGTTGGTATTAACCAGGTGCTCCCCCAAACCCTGAGCCCATGGGGCCCCCCCCATACCCCAAGGGGCCCCCAACCTGCTCTGTCCCCCTCCAGGTGTCCCCCCACCCTCCCAGGGTACCCCCACTCACCGTCTTCCTGCTCTCCTGCGGTGCCCCAGGGCAGGGAGGTAGGACAGGGGGTCCCCATGGGCATGGGGGGGCACAACCAGGCTGGGTCTCAGGTGGCCCCCCTGGTGGGATCCCCTCAGTGCCCCCCAACTGCTGCTCAGCATCAGCATCGAGCTTCTGGGAAAGGAGGAATTCAAAATATATATTAAAATATTAAAAAATATTGAATGTTTCCCCCTTTGGAAAAAACAGTTGAGAAGCCCACATTATAGGGGGCTTGGGGGTCAGTTTTGGGGTGTCCCACCTGTAAAAACTCAATTTATTTTTAAATATTAAAATAATTCCAACCTGAAAATTAAGAAGCAAATCCCCATCAAGTCCCTGTCAAACACCACATTTTAGGAAGGGCTGAAGGTCAGGGGTCAGTTTTGGGGTTCCCAGAGATGGGGGTGCCCTCCAACAACTTAATAATTAAAAATAAACTGAATTAACAAATTCCAAGCTGAAAAATACCGAGAAAACCCTCACCAGCCCCTCCAAAGCCCCATACTGTGGGAGGGTTTGGGAATAAGGAGTCAGTGTTGGGTTGCCCACCTGGCAGTCCCTGAGTACCCCCCTCAGCAGGTGGATGTACTGGGGGTTTGGGGTCAGTTTTGGGGTGCCCACCTGGCAGTCCCTGAGCAGGGCCCTCAGCAGGCTGATGTACTGGGGGTCTGGGATGGGGTTTGAGGTCAATTTTGGGTGCCCACCTGGCAGTCCCTGAGCAGGGCCCCTCAGCAGGCCGATGTACTGGGGGTTTGGGTTGGGGTCTGGGATGGGGTTTGGGGTCAGGTTTGGGTGCCCACCTGGCAGTCCCTGAGTAACCCCCTCAGCAGGCCGATGTACTGGGCCGCTGCCCGCAGCGTGTCTGCCTTGCTGGGCCGGCGGTCCCGCGGCACCAGCGGCACCAGCGTCCGGAGCCGGGAGAAGCCGCTGTTCAGGTTCCGGATCTGGGGGACAGAGGGACCCCCCCAGGGGACCAGTTTAGAGACCAAGGGGGGACTGCAGTGAGAGAATGAGAGGGGACCCTGAGGGGACCTCGGTGAGAGAAAGAGGGGACACCCTTGGGTTGCACCAGGACCCCCGAGTCAGGCCAGGACTCCCCGGGGTTAAACTCTGAACCCTGAGATTAAACTGGGTTCACCAGGATTGAACCCAACACCCCAGAACTAAACTGGGGGCCCTCCAGAATTAAACCAAGAGTGAGTTAAACCCAAGAGTTAAACCTCGGGATCAAACTGGACTCTCCGGAATCAAAGTGGGGCCCTCACAGAATTAAACTGGGCTCCCCAAGATCTAACTGGGGCCCTTCAGGATTAAACTGAGCTCTCCTAGAGTTAAACTGGAGTCCTCAAGATTAAACTGGAGCCTGTACAGGATTGAACTGGGCTCACTAGAATTACACCTGACTCCTCCAGAATTAAACTGGGGGCCCCAGCAAGAAACTGGGGCCCTTCTAGAATTAAACTGGGTTTCCCAGGATTGAACTAGGCCTCCCCCACAAGATTAAACTGGGTCCTCCCAGAATTAAACACCAGGATTAAGCTAGGGCCTCCTGAAATTAAACTGGGACCCCAAAATTAAATGTGCCCCTTCCATGACTGAACTGGGCTCTACTGGATTTAAACTGGGGTGTCCAGGATCACACTGCCCTCTTCAGGATTAAACTGGGCTCTCCCAGACCTGATCTGGGGTCCCCAGGATTGAACTGTGCTCACCAGAATTAAACCTGTCCCTCCTAGAATTGAACTGGCACCTCAGAATTTAACTAGAGCCTCTTTAGAATTAAACTGCTTCCCACCCCCAGGATTAAACTGGGTCCTCCTGGATTTAACTGTGCCCTCCTAGAACCAAACCAGGTCCCACACAAATAAATTGTGGCCCCTCAGGATTAAACCAGGCTCCTCAGCAGTAAACCAATCCCCTCTCCTCCTCTCTTATCCCACCACACCCCCAAATTAAACTGAGGCTTCTGGGATTAAACCAACCCCTCCAGGACCAAACTGGACTCCTCAAAATTAAACTGAGTCCTCCTAAAATTGAACTGACTACCGCCCGAGGGTTAAACCAGACCATCCTAAAATTTAACCAGACCCCCCCCAGGATTAAACTGGACCCTCCTAAAATTTAACTGGTGCCCCTCAGGATCAAACCCACACTCCCCTGCCCCCAAATGCAAATCCCCCTCACTGAGCGCTACCACTGGTACCCCCATCTTGAGCAGCCCTGGGGGTCCCACCACGACGGGACACAGCCCCCAGCCCCCCCGGGGAGGGATTTTGGGGGGTGTCCCTCACCCTCTCTCTCTCCTTGGCATTGGCCGCCTGCCGCCGCTCCAGCACCTCGGCCGGGTCTCCGGTGGGCTCGTACTCGCCCTGGGCCCCCCGGCGCAGGCGGGCGATGGGGGCG